AGAACCAGTTTTAACAGTACGTTACATGGAATTTAAAAAACTTCAAATTGTTAACCACATAAACATGTGAGTCGTCCGAAATGGTAAATTTCCCGATGTTTTTTGTCACGGTGGCGCTCAACATTTCAATTTAAACTATATTGACACTTGAATTCTGTACTTTGCATGTTCATTTCTTTCGAGTAACTAATGTGACAGTCTGTAGAACCTGCTCCTCAACCTGACAGAAATATTCATAGCTCCAGACTTAGAGTTTTCAGCCGGAGAGATCAAAGCATGAGAGTTTGTTCTAAGGCATTACTTCTGTACCCGTACCCTTACAAGCACAAGCATGCATGCATGTGCAAATTCCTGTACTAAGGCAAAAAAAAATTGCTAAACTACGTTTTTTGGGAAAAAAGGCATGAACGAACTGTTAGCCTGTACTGATAGGGAGCCAATCCTTGAAAGAGAAGCGTGGATGCAAGGCGTGGATCAGTGAGCCAATATTTCAGCAAATTCGGCTTCACACCAATCAGTTTTGCCAGTTCATCCATATATTCCACGTAATGCACCTCAAATATGAAATCTTCAACAACTAAAAATGCCGTGTTTTAAAAGAGTAGGTAAAAATACAAGCTCACTTGGATGGTGTGACGTCGACGTTTCACGTACTGTTTTGCCATTTGCGCCTTCTTTTTCTCGATGTTTTTGAGCATTTTCTCGGAATCCGGCAATTTGCATTTCCCAGCAAGCACTTCACAGAACAGACGGCACTGCATTTCGGAAATGGGCATTATGGATCCCAGAGGCTGGATTAGGCCTATCACTGCTAGGCTATTCTGCAAGCAGAAAAGTGGTTACAGCAAAACAGCTTTGCTAACTTACATATTATTTCTATACTTACGCCAAATGCTCCTTGTCGTTTTATTCGCGCAGATGATTCGATTCCGCTCCGCGACTTGTTGATCCATTTCAAAAACACCATTGCAGATTCAGAAATTAGGAGGTCAAAAAGTCATTTTAAACTTCGACTTGGTGTTACAGGTGAGGGAGAGCAAGACCAATTTCGTATTTTTTGTCCCGAAATTTTTCTCTAGAAATTTTTTGGAGTTAGAAAAAATAGAACTATTTGTTCACAGATATTCATTACTAATGGTTTTTTTGCTCATGTGGACGAAGCTGGGGCTAGCGGATAACTTGAAAATTGATTTTTCGTTTTTTTTTGGTGCAGTTGCTTCAACACACTTAACAAATTACTTAAAATGCTCGAAGGTTTTTTGGTATATGAGAATAATTCAGGAGCCTGATTTTGGTCGTATATGAAAAAGCCTGATTTTGGTCGTATATGAGCAAGAAGCATTCCTCGAAAGTTTCAGCTTTCTAGCTTTTCCCGTCCCCGGGTTAATAAATTTTCACTCCAAAATTTCCATGGACTCGTATGTGGGCTCGAGCGCTTACAAACAACTTATTTTGTTCGCATGTAGGTAGGGAACATTTCCGAAAAACTTTAGGCTCCTAGCTTTTCCCGGGTTAGTAATTTTCGCGCCAAAACTTTTACGTGCCCGTACGTGAGCCCCGAGCGGTCCTAAGGAGCTGAGTTTGAAAACTTTTGGTCGTACATGAGTAGGGAACATTCCTCCAGAGTTTCAACTTTCTAGCTTTTCTCATTCCCCAGTTATGAATTTTCCCGACATAATTTTCACTTGACCGTATGTAAGCCCCGGACAGTCCTGGGCACCTGAATTTGAAATCTTTTTGTCATACACGGGTAGGGAACATTACCCTGTGGTTTCAGCTCTCTAACTTTTCTTGTTCCCGAGTTATCAGTTTTCCCGCCAAAACTTTCACGTACTCGTACGCAAGGCCAAAACGTGCGTGGGAGTTGATACCGCGGTCCTGGGGTGGCACTTGGCTGGGGAACACACTGGCAACATTTCAACTTCAAAGTTTGCGTGGTTAGTGAGTTGAAAAACCCGGACAGACGAACGCAAACACAAGCATACACACACACACATACTCACACACACGCACACACATACACTGCCAAGGTCATTGCAATATGCGTTTTTACTGCCTGTTGCAGCGCTCTAGCGCTGCACTGCAAAAACGCGTAAAAATGAATAAATGAACGCAATAAGTAATAACCTTTGGCGATAATTGCGGTGGATACATGTACTTATATAAATTGACCTGATTATCAGTGACAGGGATCAGGTTACCATCCTCAAGTATCGCGAATTCAAAGGAATAACCGGTGGCAAAAATTACAGTATCAACATCCTTTACAGTGCTGCCATCCTCAAATATAACGTCGCGCTCCGCAAAAGAAGCAATGTTTGGCTTGATCTGAAACAAGATCGTCCTCGTGCATGTAGCTCTCACAAATGAAGCAAATAATGTAGACAAGTCCATAATCAGCTGCGGCTTAGTAAA